AAAAAAAAAAAAATCTTTTTTTTTATATAAGAAAACAAGAAATTCTGATCAAAATCAACTATCTCTCATAACAGATTCGAAATGGCTGACCGCTAACTATAGAGTCCCTGACGCAGCCCCAACAGTCACTGAAAAGGGTTGAATATCTGTGTCACTCGTTGTTACCTGCAGCTGCAACTGCTCAAAAGCACTTTCGAGGCTTGACCTGAGATCACGGTAAGAGATCACTAAGATGGTATTTCCGTCTTCATTACTAATAAGCTGCACCAGCTCTTCAGAACCACAATCAAGTTTGTTTAGGCAGTGGAACACATGACCCCAATCTAAACGTGTGCGATGTTGTTCATCTACCTGGTTGAAAACATACTGACTAAAGAGTCGCAGAGCGTAACGATTGTGTGCCTCTGTGTTGTTGTCAGGAACTTCATGTAAAGACTCTAATACAAAGTTAAGTTTCACCATCAATCGCATAAGACGTCCATTATGTGCTTCCTTTGCGCATTGAGACATCAAGTAATCTGCATAACCCTCTTGGTGAGCCACCTCCATGGACATACGCTCTCCCAAGGCACGGCACAAACTAGCCACATCTGTGCCGCCATCTAAACATGCCTTCACAAGCGTCCAGAAACTCTCTGAAAATCCAGATGCTGGTTGGTTCGTAATATCTTCAGGACGTGCATTCAGATTACATGTAGAGAGTTGCAAAAGAAGAAGTCCCAATGCTTGAATATCTTGTTTCATTAACATTGCCATGCTAAGAGTGGAAGTCTTTGGTTCCACCAGATCCATAAGTCCTATTCCACTAAAGTAGAATCTACCTGTAACAGATGCATACAAAATTTTGCTCCAGTGAAGTCCACGCAATGGGGTGGCAGTTTCATGAAATGCACGTAAGAGACCAACCATTTGACAAGCAAAAGACCATAAAAGACCTTCAGTTGCTCTTCTTTTAGTGAAAAAATACTCATGAAGACTTTTAGCTTCTGGAATAAATTTGTATTCCATGATAACATCATTACTTCCCATAATAAATGCATCGGTTGCTATTACACCTGTCAATGGAACCAAATTTGGATGTCGGTAATGTCGAAACTGCTCACATACAGCATTACAATCTTCAAGAGTTGCACTCGTATTAACGATGCGTCGTAGAGCAATATCCTTTCCTGTAAAACGCACCGTCGTCTGATATACTTGCATCGTTAATTTAGAATTCATCGTACTTTTCTTCGCCTCATCTTCAATGTTGTAAATGGTAGTGTAATGGGCAAATTTAGAGCTAGTTACAGGTGTAATGGTACGCATATTAGAACGCATTACATAAGACATATTTGGTCGTGTATTTCGAACGGCAGTGGACATAAACAAGTGACTCACAGGTGTATATGGAGTAGATGGAAACGGATCCGTTAAGGGCTGACAAAAAGGGTCAACATGTTGGGGTGTGTAAAGAGAAGATGGTGATGCTACAAAAGCGTTCGTCACAAGACTACCACCGCTGTTCACATGACGACGCCCGTAGGGGTGCTGGTTGCCGCCGGCATTGATTACACTACTCACCATGTTGCCCCGACCAAGCACGCCACTCTTTACATTACGCCCTTTTGAATCCATGCCCTTATAACAGCTACCTTAGGATTTCCCTACAAAGGCTCTCATACTAAAAGGAGACATACAAGAAGGAAGAAAAGGACGCAAAAGAAAAAAAAAAGAAAAAAACTCTCATGGAATTACCATTAAAGTATACATTCTAATCGACGAAACAGTAAATCGTCAAAAAAAAAAGGTTTTTAAACAAAGAAAAAAAAAGAAAACGATATCTGTATGAAAGTCAGCCATTAGAAGAAGCAGCTCTAACTTGCTCGACTACGTTTCGATCCAGCCACAGCTGCCTTCCTATTGCTTTGCTGTTTCTTCTTACCTTCCACCGTATTTGACTCGGGTATAACTAATGCCCGCTCGTCCATCCGCACGTTTCGCACACTTGCTCCACGGACAAGTGATTCTCGCGATCGCCAAAAGGCGTCTCCCTCGGCGCCTGTTCTTATGCATTGCTTCAGCAGCATGTTCATAGACCGGTCCACGCGCACCACAGTCCCGTTGATTGTCTCACCCCCAACTAACTCAACGGATACAACCTTTCCCCTGCAGTTACGCAGTATATCAAGTGGTGTCACCCACTTCTTCGCGCTCATGACCTACAAAAGTAAGAGAAAACAAAGAAGTTGAAAAGTATAGGTAACACACAAATTTCAAGCACATAGGCACAGAAACGAGGAAAATAAGAAAAAATAAAATAAAAAAAAATAAAAAAAAAACAGAAACAGAAACAGCATGACAATACAAAGACTATCCTCAAATTATTCCTTGTGAAACCTCATCCGTTCATGAAGGGCCTGTGATAACTCTCCCAACTTGGGGAACAACGCAGCAAGAATTTCCAAATCGTTATCAGGGAGAAAAGATGCCACCAGAGCATGAACTGCCCTTGGAAATGAGCGAAAGTAAGAGAGTGAAGAAAGATTTCCTGGGGTAAACGCTGGAACATCTGCAAGACGACATAAACGTTGAAGTAATTCAAGTGTACGAAATGACGTGTAATTCACAACAGTTGTACCGTCTACACCCCAGAAAACCTTGTGACATTTAGGGCAACGTGTAAAAGCTTCGTAAACCTCATAAACTTTCGCATGAACATCATTTTTGATAGTTTCTTTCGGAATAGGCAAAAGAACTTCGTTACACGTAACGCAACGGGAAAAAACACGCTCAAAATCATAGCAAAGACCTGCACTTCGTATTAAGTTAGCCATGACAGAGAAAAAATCCTTTGATACATGATGCGGTAACTGGTAAAGCATCACTTCACTTACATCCCAGTCGCTATCTGAATAAATTGATTCACCATCTGAATCATAGGCAATAACCTTCCGTTGTCTCATGGAAGAGGCAGTCTCACGACTTCTTACAGCTCTGTTGTGTGCGTTCACCTGAGCCACTAACATTGGGCTAGATGTAACTAACGCCAAGTTATCACGTACAGCTCTTTCCAAGAGCTCACTCTGTCGTATCTGTCGATCACAGACTGCATTGTAGCCCAAGAGACGAAGATATTTAGCAACTCGATTTAAGCTGTAGTCCATGAGAAATCCAGTTGTGGCATCCATCAGCAACAGAAAACAAGGATAGGCGTTAAAGGGAAAAGGCAAAAATCAAATGTGTCGATACACACACCTCTCAATATATCACTACTGCAAGACACACACACACAGATAGAGAGAGAGAGATGCGGTAAAAGGAACCTAAGCCTAACCACATACAACAGTAAATAGAAGAAACAAAAAAAAAAGACCATGCATTTTCCCTCTCGATGGAAAATGTTTTTTTTTTT